AGCTGTTGAAGGTTGCAATACGTGGGACCAGATCTGACACAGATTTGAGATTGAAATGCCACTTCGACGGCAATGTGAACAACAGATGGTTCAAAGCTTTTGCCACACTGCGACAGGTCTTCACGGTAGCTTCAGAATATGTAGGGCAGATGGGCCTGTAGCAGCTGACATCTTTATGCTTAGGCAAGGCGTTAGCCTCGCCAACAGCGCCCTTGCTGTTCCATCTGATAAATTTTAACAGACCCGCTTCTTTCACTTCCCGTCACAGTCTCGACATCACTTCCCTTTCTTCTTTAGCAATCACCACATAACCGGTGCTTCCTACGAACAGATCCAACATATCGTCGTAGTAGATTTTTCGGGCACATAACAAAAGTCTCCCCAGGATTTCTATCCAAAGGTGTGAGTACAAGCCTTTGCAATCTCAATCTTAGGCAGGGCACCCCGCTCGAATTCAAAAATTTCTCTTGCAGCGTGATGCCCGTTACAATGCACCTAGCTGCTTCCTCTTCGCTAATAGCTAGAGACCTCACCCTACAGTTCCTCCAAAACAATATTCCGTCTGAGATCTCCTTCCTAAGTAAGCGTCCTCTATCAGGGTGAGAAAGCTTGGGGATATTATTAGCATTGCATAGTAGGGGGTCGACATCATCCAGTTCCTGAAGTCTAAATTGCACGTGCTCGCCTATCCTAGAATAGGGCAACCCTGTACAAATACAGGTGAGCACCTCAGCTCGGGCAAATTGCCCCTGATTGTGCAAGGTATCAGCAACGAAGGGATTCTTAGTACCTACGATGCAAACCTGATTACGTGCAACCAACTTCAAACAGACTCGCAGATCCAGATCCTCCAGCTTATCGTTTACAAGCTTCCGCACTTCCACCAAATGTATCCGATCATCAAATCTCAAGAGAATGGTGAGTTGCGCATTGACGTGCCATCCAAACTTCTCTTTAATCGTGCGTCCTATCATCCTTTTGAGGTATGCTATCGTCGATGCTCGCCGAAACTCCTTCGCGGCCCCATTCAATCGTACCAGCACATCGACATTGCATTGGTTTAGCGCTTCCAGGCGTCGAGGATTTCGTAGAATCGAGAGCAGGAAGTGTTTATCCGGCCCAATTTTTCGTCTCCAACGGCGAAGGAACCAAATCTCGATGTCAAAGCCTTTCTCCATATGACCCTTGCATTGGTACAGAAGAAGGCGATATCCCTCCACTTTCACAATCGAATTACCAAATGCTTTCCTAATCGATTTCCACCCGCCGCACCAGCAGTTCCCACCTTGCAGATGTAGTTTAAGTTTATGCTTTCCTATCTTTTCCTCACCTGCTAAAACTCCAAACACGTCCACGCTCCATTTCTCCGTCCCTCATGTACGTATCTTAATGGGCTTTACCATCTTCGCCTATGGCATCCTATCGCGGGATATGCCCTCCCGACATCTCTCCCTTTTTCCCTTCTTTCGTCGCCACCGCTTTTTCTTCTTGCCCGTGCCCGACAGTTTTCCGTTTGTGTTCAAGACTGGACTCCATTTCCGTATGAAGAGTTGCTCCAAAGAGAGCAGATCTTCCAGTATACAACAGTCGACCGGTAGCAAGGCGTACGACTCAGAGGCGAATGCCCGCCACCAACGGTACAGATAGTTCTTCTTCGAACCCCTATTGCTAACAGACAAGTGCTCTCTCCACCTCATGTTCATTGGTCGACTAGTCTGTCCTACATACTGGGCGCGGCAGAACGGGGAAGATAGGACGTAAATGCAACAGGAAATATTCAAGAACGCTTCTATTCCGTAACGTGCAAACAGGTTCAACCAAGAGTCGACGCATTTTTGTTGCCATCTTACCTCACCGGCTAAGGCTAGCAGGATAATTACGAAAAGGTAGACTATCTCAATACTCGCATTCACGATGCCTTCACGTTTCATACTCACCAGGCAGTGAGACATTGCCCATCATTCACGTGTGTGTTTGGGGTATCACACATCCCCTTCTACCACCTCTTCTCCAATGTTTTTCTCATCTCTTGCTCCCCTATCCTCCTCATCGTTCTCCGGCTCCTCAATTTCATCAGATTCGTAGGCTTCCTTGGTCCTTTTCTCCGTGATGGCGAGGATCGTCTGCATCTTTTTCCCTCCGTACTGCACATCTTCCTCTTTGCATATCTTCTTCAGATCGTCCACATTGAAATCGGCCAAGTCACCTGTGACGTACTTCAATTTGCCAAGCGCTCCCATCGAAGCTGGAATCTTCTTCTTTTTCAAAGTCGCACTTCTTGGGGTCTTCTGCTTCGGCGATCGTTTCATCGGCGGGTGCCGGCAAGTGAGCTGCAGTCTCTCAGTAAGCCGCCTGGGCTCCATCCCGGCATGTTTGTTGATCTTCTTCGTCGGCGTGTCCATAGGAGGGCTGTCACCGACCGCCTTTTCAGTACTCCTCTTCCTTTTCTCATTAATCGTCTGTTTCTGAGTTTTGCCTCGTAGCACCTCCACGTCACTCCCCTCATATTCGCAAGAGGCGTCACCTGAGGAGTAGTTAGATTCTTCTTGAGGATCCATCTTTGCTTTATCTTTGGACGCGTCAAGAACGACTTTCTTCAGGCGGTGTTGTATCCTCTCCTCGAGGCTGCCGACATGCATCGACAGATGCATAAGCATCTCTTTCCTCATTAATTCGCGATCTTCCGCTTCCTGTTGTTTGAGTTCGGCTTCCTTCTTCTGCTTGGCTTCCTTCTTCTTCTATCGACCCTCCTCCTCCAACCTCTGTTCCTCCAATAGTCACTTTTGCTCCGCTTTCTCTTGTTTACGTTTCTCCTTCTCCTCTTTGCATGCTTTCTCCGCTTCGACATGCTCCTTCATCGAGGCCAAGGAACTGGTCAATTCCTCCAATTGACGTCGAACGTTCGGATCTTCGGAAGACAAGCGCCTCTCAGGGAAACAAGCGTGGTGGCTGGGTGAAATCGAACTTCCACGCCGCATGTTGTAACAAGAGCTTCCTTCGCCAACCAGTTGTGGACACTGGTTTCGATAGTGGCCTAGCTCCCCGCATTCAAAACATACTGGAGCCGTTCTTCGCTTTGGTTCTTTTGGTGCATGGTCCCAGTCCTACTGCGACCAATGGGAGCCATGCCACCTATCACCTCGGAAATCCCGAGGTAGGTCTCGTCCTCTCTCGTAGCCAGCGTTGTAACTAGGATCGAAAGAGCAATCCCGATCAACCCCGCGGCCGTAGTCACGTAACCGCCCCCTGCCATCGTCGAAGGCTATGACGTTAGCGAAGAACAACGTTGCACCAGATAGCTATACGAAAGATAGCAGCGAGTGCTTGTGTGAGCTTCGCTATGCGACCTCCTGAGCATAGGAAATCTCAACACCCCAAAGCTGTGTCAAGATGTTGCTCCACCGCTACACCATAGCACGATTCACTCCTCCGAGCCGCTCCGCAGAGTTCCGAGTACAAAGTACAACTTCCGCATCAAACGTTCGCTCCTCAACAGCTACACAGTGCTCAAAGTACAAAGTCTAAAGTACCACATACAACATCACTGCATGCTCACACGCGCTCAGCCATCATCTCCAAGCGGGTTCACATGGGCTTTAACTGGTTTATCAGATAAGGAGTGCAGAAGACGACTCAAGCATAAAACACAATCGTGTACACATGAGTCAAAGAGCACAGTACAGCAAGTGTACAAAGAACAGTAGAGCAAGTGWACAAAGATTGCAAATAGCCGGTGGGTATGACACCCCGACCGGTTTCGACCGTCRCCACACGGTCGWCTTCAGGGGGAACCACCAAAAGCTTCGCCCTCGTCAATACCCAGACTTTCCACTTTTTCACCTCCGTCGCTAATCCCGTTGTCGTCTCTGGAAACGGCRGTGGGGTCAAACCCACCTATAAGAGCAGGCATTACCATAAAGAGTAGGATAAGATAAGAATGAAAGATAAGATAAGAAGTAAGCACGACGTCGGACCCAAAAGGATTAACAGCTATGCAATCATTATCTTTATRGCCCRTTTTYTTGCMGATCTCCGTACAAGCTCCTCTAATCCTACCGAAAAGGTCCTAMCCCCCSTACCCTGGGGGCTAAAAACAACARCAGTCCCACARCGGGTTGTTTTCCCATCTMAGGTAGCRRAAGTGGTCCGAGGGAYGGACCATCAGTTCTCAAATTCCCGACCAGTGGCCGGAACMCCGCTTCACCAGTAGCRRACCARAGATCRAGGTCCCCATTCTCCGGACGGTCGAACGGTAGACTGAGGAACTGCCAAACCGTATCTCTACTARGCACGAAATAGCGCTCTATCAAACGGCAAAAAGGTTTCAACGAAATAATGGTACAAGGAAAAGCTCCCTTAGCTGTAAGAGCCCTGTCCGAGCATACATGCATGACAAATTCAGTACAGAGTCCGCCTAATCATACATAACAGTCGGTCATAAGTTCTTAGTCAGCGCATCTATGCTTAACGGTTTATTTCACACAAAAAAAACTTACCCAGTCGTATCTGCTGGAAACCGATTTTAAGAGACAAAACAACAAGTCTACAAAAACAACTACAACAAAAACAAAAAAGAACCAAAAAACAATGTCGAGACCTGTCTTAATGTATGTAGCATGATCATCCGACTAAAAAAGCAACAACAAGCTACAGAGGTCGCCACAAAAAAGAAACAGAAAAAAGCACACTCAGCAAGGTAGCATTCGCAGGGAAAGACAAGGACAAGGGACAACTTCGTCGGCAGAGGGGCTAATACAGCCACTCGTGAATCGTCGTCCAGATCGGGTCACATCCCTTAACGAAAATTCTTAGCACTCTTTCTAGGAAATGTTTGGGGAAGTTCTTGATCCGCAACTCTCGTGACAAAGTGAGGACCTTCAGTGGGATCTCTTCACGGACATTTGTGTTGCAGTCAATCCTATGGAGGTAACTTGATACAACTGCACTTTTGTGTGCCTTACTACCCCAAGAGTGAAACGACTGCCTATTCTTAAATTTTAATCTGCCATCCTCCCAAATTGTCTTTTTGTTCTTGATCGTCTGCACACAGGAAATATATGGTTGCAGCATGTTGATTCCCATCCTTGTCCCCAAGAATTCCCATGTTCCTGTTGCGTCATCCGTACGCTTCAGAGTCAGGCTGTCCGGGTAGCAGGATTCGAAACTCTCCCTGATTTCGGTGTGTTCGCCATTACCTTTTTTATCCAACATAATCATGCTGACGTCATCCATCAGCCGTATAACACCCCCGTCGCCTTCGTGTAAGTGTGTTTTAGATCCATGTGCACGAATGATCTGATCATCTCCTGATCAAGCATTCTCCAGTGGTCATCCCCTGTTGTCCGCCCGAAAGTGCTGCCTCTGCCCCTGGGATTCACACGTACAGCAACCCTGCCTTTCTCAATGTGGTATTTGATTACCCAATCAACGGCTGCAATTATCTCCTCATGGGGCAGTTTACTAAACATGTCTTTGATGTCGTAAGACATCGAACAAGTTTAGACTACGCCTTCATCTTCCGATCTTTGGAGCTGTTGAAGGTTGCAATACGTGGGACCAGATCTGACACAGATTTGAGATTGAAATGCCACTTCGACGGCAATGTGAACAACAGATGGTTCAAA